GTGTATTTAGCTATGTTATTTTGGGATTGTTATGAAAAGTTTTTTCCCCCCCCCCCCCCCCCCCGGGTGTATAAATAAATACCTACCATCTTCAACTTCAGTGAACTCTGCTTGAGTTGCTCCAAATAACTTCAAAGCATTACAGGCTTTTGTCCAGTTTGTTTTGAATGTTGCATCATCTATCTTACTACTTGTATTATGCCCTACCAATTCATTACGCACATCTTTAAGATCTTCCAAGGCACTTTTTTCAGGACTTGTAGGAAGGTTTACGAACTTCAAAGACGAGTGTAATAATACACTCGATAAAAGTGAAAAGTCCCATTTTTCGGTGTTTCCACTATTGAACTTTGCTCTATCATTTCCCCTTAACCTCAGCGTTGTTTCAATATTATTCATTTCTGTGGCATCATTTGGCACATTAGTCCAGGGTGCTGGTGGTGGGGTACCCTTGAAATTCTGATATACTATTGGCCACTGCCTTTTGAAATACTCTCTGAGATTTTTGTTGCCAACATCATTGATTAGAATTGTCAGACAGAAGAAATTTCTCCTTCAAAAAGAAATAAAAATAAAAATTTTGACTTTAGAACATTATAGGTTAAACCCATGGATATAATTGGCTCAGCTGATAATAAATCTATTTCCCATTTTCATTGTCTTAAATCCCACTTCTGCACTTCAATTCTGAACCCCCAAAAAATTATTGATATGCCTAGTATTCTTCTGGGTTGATTGAAATTTGGGCATGGCTTAAATTAAATTCGTASCTTTACGACTCCCAACTCGAGAGCACATGCTACTTTGAGAATCGACTGCAATTATTATCAATTATGTTCTTTTTTTCTTTAACTCGAACTGTTTAATTTATCTATCTAATTTATACACTTATTTACTTTGTATTTAAAATTCTTTATTAGTCAGTGGAAATAAAATCGAATTGAAAATTGAATTGAATCGAACTTAGGCTGTGTTCATAATATACAGGGGGGGGGGGGGGGGGGGGGGGCAGGTTAAATTTAGGGGGGATCCAAAACAATTTTAACCAGTAAAATGGTGGGGTTAGAAAATTATTTCCAGAGAATTGCAATTGGGGGGATGCAAAACTTTTAGAAGAAGCTACGAGAGATTGCCCGGGGGATAGTTATTTTT